TGGGAATCGAACCCGGGTCGGCCACGTGCAAGACAAGCTAGTGCAGAGGTTAGGTTCCTGCCCCAGTTTAATCCCTGATACCATATGGCCCTGGTGACCCCTGAGAATCACTGAATTCAGTGATTGACCTGACTAATCCCCAACACAGGACCTGAGTAGCACTGTGTCCTCAGGCCCTTGCATTAAACCCATACAGGTTGGTGGAGAATCTTTGGTATTTCATTCCCCCACATTGTATCCCTAAGCACTACTTGAGATGTCTCACCTCAAGTGTCCCCAAATGGGCAAGAGAGACAATATGAGGTATTAAAGTGATTTGCTGGGGCTGGAGCAATAGCACAGTGGTAAGGCGTTTGCCTTGCGCGCAGTCAACCCGGCCAAGCTGGGTTCGATTCCTCCGCCCCTCTCGGAGAGCCCGGCAAGCTACTGAGAGTATCTCACCCGCACGGCAGAGCCTGGCAAGCTACCTGTGACATATTCAATATGCCAAACACAGTAACAACAAGTCTCAAAAAAACGGAGATGTTACTGGGCCCACTCAAGCAAATCGATGAACAACGGGAGGAGAGAGAGCACAGCGGGTAAGGCATTTGCCTTGCATGTGGCCTACCCAGGTTCAGTTCCCAGCATCCCATATGGTCCCCTGGGCACTGCCAGGAGTAACTCCGGAGTGCAGAGCCAGGAGTAACTCCTGTACATCGCCAGGTGTGACCCAAAAAGCAAAAAAATTAAAAATTAAAAAATAAAGTGATTTGCTGTGTCCTACCCCAGTTTGATCCCCAGCACTACAGATGGTCGTCTGAGCATTACTTAGGAGTCACTCCTGAGCCAGGAGTAGCCCCTGGGCACCACCAGATGTGACCCAAAACCAAAACCAAAAAATATAGAAACACAACACACACACACACACAGCCTCAATCTAATGTACATCCAGCATTTGTCTTAAAGGGTTAGAGACTTGTGTCTACAGAAGGGACCCAGAGCACCTCAGTCTGCTTTCAGAGGGTAGAGGAGTTTTAACAATGTATCCAAGCCCTGTCAATTTCTGTGCTTCCACTCTGCCTGCCTGCTGTAGACTCGGTAGCTGCACCCAAAGCTCAGAGTATTAGCCTTTGCCTTGCATGCAACTGACCGAGGTTTGATTCTGGCATCCCATATGGTCCCCTGAGCATTGCCAGGAGTAATTCCTGAGTGCAGAGCCTGGAGTTAGCCCCGAGCACTGATGGGTATATACCAAAAAACAAACAAATAGATGTTCCCCCAACTCCTCCAAGAGTGATCCCTGAGCAGACCCAAGAGTAAGCTCTGAGCGCAGTCAGATGTGACTCAAAAACAAAATTTAGGACCAGAGACATAATACAGCAGGTAAGGTGCTTGTCTTGCATGTGGCCAACCTATGTTTAATACCCATACAGCCCCGGCACCCTACTAGGAGTGATCCCTTAGTGCAGAACCAGGAGTAATCCCTGAGCACTACCAAGCATAGCCCAAAAAACAAAACAAAAAAGAGAAGAAAGGCTTGCTCTTCAAGCCCATGTTCTCCCTTGAACACATATCTTGTTGTTCGTCTATTATCTTTGCTTGCTTTTCTACCTTGGAGAAGCACATGTTCTCTCTTTAACATACATTTTTTTCTCTCCCTCCATATATTCTAAATAAGTTTCAGGGGCCAGAGTAATAGTACAATGGGTAGGGTGCTTGCTTTTCATGCAGCTCACCCAGGTTCAATCCTCAGCACCTCATATGGTCCCCTGAGCCCACCAGACCAGGAGTGATCCCTGAGTGCAGAACCAGAAGCAAGCACTGAGCATTTTTCGGGTGTGGCCCCCAAACTGAAAAAACAACAACAAAAGTTTAAGTAAAAACTATCTTGCTTCACAAAAAAATTTAAAAATGGGGGCTAAAAAGTTAGTGCAGCAGGCAGGGCACTTGTCTTGCACTTGATTGACATGGGTTCAATTGCTGTCACCCCATATGTCCCCTGAGCCCAACTATCAGTCCCTGAATGCAGAATGCTTTTCCGCAACTAACACCTCCGGATTAGTTGAGGAAAAGCATTCATAAGCACAAGAAATGGGGGAAGACAGAGTTAGATCATCTTGCTCAGTGTGGCTTCCAGACCAGGACCTGATGATAAAAGGGAAGAACACATGAAATGTGCATGTGATTATGATGTCCTGCTAGCTCTTCCCTCCTGTTACCTATCTGCACTTCCCCTGCTCTGCCCTTCCCTTTCCTATTTTGCATGCTTTGTTCATTCGTTATTCAAACTACAGGTCAAATGTCACCTCTTCAGAAGGACCTTCCTGACCTCCCAATCACAAGCATTTTACTCTATTGTCACTCTATTTTATTTGGGGGGCGGGTGGGAGGGAGGTCACACCTAGGGGTGCTCAGGGCTTACTCCTGCAGATTCAAGGAACCATTTAGGGTGCTAGAGGTCAAACCCGGGTCAGCCACATGCAAGGCAAGAATCTTCCCTGCTGTACTCTCTTCCCAGCCCTTCTCTTTTGTTTATAATCACTAATTGCTACAGAAGGTTTTTTTTCTACCAGTCTCATTTCCCACCAAAATGGGACTTCATTATAAGAGAGAGTCTCGGGCTGGAGTGATAGCACAGCAGGTAGGGCAATTGCCTTGCATGAGGCTGACCAGGGTTCAATTCCCAGCATCTCATATGGTCCCCTGAGAACTACCAGGGATAATTCCTGAGTGCAGAGCCAGGAGTAACCCCTGTGCATCGCCGGGTGTGACCCAAAAAGCAAAAAAAAAGAGAGAGTCTCCCTTGCACACCATATAATCCTGGTTCCTGAAGCTGTGCTGAGAACAAAATAGATTTGCTCGAGCGGGCCCAGTAACGTCTCCATTGGAGACTTTGTTGTTACTGTGTCTGGCATATCGAATACGTCACGGGGAGTTTGCCAGGCTCTGCTGTGCGGGCGAGATACTCTCGGTAGCTTGCCAGGCTCTCCGAGATATAATCTCTTTTTCTCTTTTGCAGTGGGGGATTGGACTCAGGGCCTTACAGGTGAGACAAGTGCTCTATCACTGAACCACATCCCCTGCCCAAAATTGGTATTTTTTTATTTGCTTGTTTGCAGGCCACAACCAGCTGTGCTCAGGGCTTACTCCTGGCTCTGCACTCAGGATTCAGGGCTTGGGGATTCAGGGACACCTGGCTGCCTCGGGGAACCATTTAGAATGCCAGGGATCGAACATGAGTCAACTGCATGCTATAGTATTCTGTGGCCCTCAATAATTAATATTTAATACGATGTTGAGTGAGTGAATAAATAAATGACCCTCTATTCATTTTATTCAAGTTGCTGCTATAGGAGTACATGTTGGCATGGTCACCAAAAAGTGAGCAGGGTGACATGTGTCATTCTGTGTGTAAGTCACTGATACGTTCAAAGAGCTCAAACAGGGACAGTGTTGGCTCAAAGGACCACATACATGCTTTGCATGCTGGAGGTCTGGGTCCAATCCCTGGCACCTCATGATTCCCTGAGCATTGAGGGGAGTGACCCTTAAGCACAAAGCAGAGCTGGGAGCAGCTCAGTAACTGCCAGGTGTGGGCCACGCCCCCCCCAAACAAAACAAATAGTTCAAACAATACACAAGTGGCTACACATGTGGGAGGTTGTAGTCAATGTGGCGAGGGAGGGTCTATAGATGCCAATGCTGGGAGGGGCTGTCCCTGGGCAGGAGCTGTGCAAAATGTGCTGTTCCTCTCCCCAGCTGTGCATCTGTCCCCAGGTGTCTTCCTGTCTCTCAGCATGTTTTGATGTCTTGGCTGCTTTGCTGAGATGTTTTTCTGTCATGGAGGCTACTTATCCCCTTCTCTTCCCTCCAGTCTCCACCTGTGCCTATGGATGTCTGTGCAGGGGGAGTCAGCCTCAGCTCCCGTGCCCCTTCTCTCACACAGCCCTGCTCCAGTCTAGGACCCCTCCCTTTCTCAGTGGGCCCTGTTGCTGGGCTCTGGGTTGCCATAGAGACGGTTGCCAAGTCCCTGAGGCTGATAGCCAGCGATGGGGCTGTCGGGCTTCATCCACGGGGGAGGCTGAGGGGGGCTTCCCATTGTGTGGAGAAGGGGATGTTGCCATGACAACCAACCCCCACTAAGGGGCAGGGACCAGCCCTTCCACCCCTCTCAAGCCTCCCTACCTCGGGCAGCTCCAGAGGAGGGCTCCGAGACAGGAGCAAATTCCAGACAGCCCAGCACCTGGGCTGCCAGTTTCCAACTCCCCTTAGAATGGTGCCTGTGGCTCTCAGAACCCAGGAATCCTGCTCGGACCAGGGGGAGGAGCACAAGATGGGCGGGGAGACCTGCCTCACCAGACACAAGAGGGGCAGGAAGACCCCTTGACCTCCAAGCAGATGGGAGACAGCAGGAGAGGACCTTCAGTTAGGGGCGGGGTGGGCAGGGCAGAGGTTGTGATCCCACTGACGGGCTCCAGTGATGTTCCTAAAGGCTGCTTTTGTAGCTGGAGAATGGGGCAGATTCTAGGGGGCTGGGCACCTGGGCCTTTAGTGGGAGGGAATGCCTGGGTTAAGCATATACAGACAGCCAAAGGAAATGCAGCTTCGTGCCTGGGTCCTGAGTCTTCTCAGCAGTCATACTCCTCCCCACCCGGCAAAACCCCAAATCACAGAAGTTCCGGGCAGGAGTGGTTGGGAAGAGATTTGAGCCCCCGAACATGTTTTTCCCACTTGGTTTCTGACAGCAACTTGCCTGGTCTCTGCTTAGCAATAACCACTCAAACCAAGTGAGAACATATATTCACACACACCCCCACTTAGGATGGACTGTCAACTCCCACTCTGGCTTGGAGGTGGCTTCTCACCCAGCCCGTTATCTCCTTTTCATGCAGCCTGTATCATCCCTCCAGCCCACCCTTTTCTCTACCCCTTCCCCCTGTTTCACGCGAGCCAACCCTCAGCTTGAAAGCTTTTCTAACCACGGTATCTGTCCCAAGTCATCCAGTCATTCTCCAGCCTTTGCATCAACTTTTGAAATTTTTTATTCTTTTTTTTTTTTTTTTGGTTTTTGTTGTTCAAATTTCCCTTTACAGTAAAACTATTGAGGTGACGGCCACACCCTGCCACCTCCCCCATATCAACTTCCTGTTCCCTGGAAGGAGCAATTAGAAAAATCAGGAAGAAGCTGGGAACTACAGCACCAGAGAGATGACTTGACCTCTGGTGGACAAAGCAACCATTTTGGCTGGTGATTAAGGTGGCCAACTTGGTGCCCATGGACAGCTCTGATCTAAAGAAACTGAGCTGGGAGGAAACTGAGACAACACCCGATTGTGCACTAGAGGGCAGGAAGAGGTATAAACTGGTCACACGGAAACAATGGCGGAAGTTAAGTACCACTGTCGGCTAGGCCAGTCAGCAGGCCACCATCTTGGTCACTAAGGGAGCTGTGTTGAGTCTGAAGGGAGTAGGAAATGGAGGCCATGATGAACAAAACAGCCACCTGGGCTACTGGGAGAGAACACGGGGGTTGTGGGAACAGGCCTGTTGAGTAACAGAGATTATACTGGGATATGAGAAGGGAAGAACAAGACAAATTCGACCTGCCACAGTAAGTGGGCGGTCAGCTTAGAAGTCCTACAAGCAGCACAGAGAACAAGGGAAGGGAGCACTTGGGAAGTGCCACTGAATGCAGGGAAAATCCTCCCCCGTCCACCCTATCTTCTAATATAAAGTTCCAGCTTCCTCCTGAAACAGAAAGTTCTTCCTGCCCCTGCTTCAACTCCGGCCCACCCCACCTCCGAACTAGGCAACTTCACTTCCAACCAGACCCACTTCCTATTTCAGAAGTACTACTTCCTGTCCTGGATGAAGGCACTTCCAGTTCCTGCTGCAATTCTTCTGCCACTTCCCAAGCCACTTCTGTCCGGCCTGGTCACTTCTTGTCTGGAGCAAGTCCCAAGTGGTCCATTCAGCATCAAAATCCTTATGTGTCCCAACAGGTTCATATCTTGCTATCGGCCACTGGACAAAATGGGCACACCTCTTCTCATGATAGCTGTCATAACCCCACCACCCCAAATGGCTGGAGTAAGTACGTAGAGGCCTGGGGCAAGGCAGAGGAGGAGGCCCTGCTGCCCATGCCCTGAGCTGGGTGGAATGGTCAGAGCCTTCACCACAAGGCCCCTGTTTCTGGCAGACTGAGGGGAGTGGTGGGTAAGAGCGGTCAGAAGGGGCAGAGCTGAGGGGAAACAGGCTGTTAGGCCCCAACCTGGGAGATGGAAGAGGCACAGGAGAAGAAAATCAAGAGGGGGAAAAGGAGATGGAGGGAGGAGGATGCTAGGGAAGAGGAACAGACCTAGAGACAGAAGAGAGAGGAAGAGAATAAGAGGGAGGAGAAAAGAAGAGAAAAACAGTGAGAGGCAGAAAGAGAGGGGTACCAACCAAAAGACAGACTGTGCCCACCCCCGGCTCTCGGTGAGGGGGACAAGGATCCTGGGGTCAGGGTCAGAGGAGAAGGTTGAGTCTCTGTACCTTTCCTGAGGGCCACCAGGACCCAGGAATAGAGACAGTGGGGCTGCATGGGGTCAACCCAGGGCAGGAGGTGGTCGGTGGAAGTCTGAAGGACTCCTAAAAGTGGAGGAGGGTACCAGCCAGGAGGGGCAAAGTTGCTGAAGGGGTGAAGGGGACCAAGAAGATGCTAAAGGCGTCCCTCAAACCACGAATTCCACTGGAGAAGCACTCCAAGAAGGGCCGAATCCAGGAGAGCCAGGTGGGAGGCCCCCTCAGACCTTGTAGTAGATGTTTGGAGGGCTTTGGGGGGGCCCATCCTGCACAATGTATACAGGATGCCCATAGTCGCCACTCACCTTCTCATAGTGGGGACAGAAGGGGGGGTCTGGAGCCCCACCACCCCGCAGGGCTATCCCTAGCTCCCCCGGCTCAGTCTCCCGGGGCCCCAGTCCCCCGCCACCCCCCAGGCCCAGAGACCCGCCCCTCCCGAAGGAGCCAGGACCAGGGTGGCGACTCTCCGAAGGCTTGGCCCGCCGTCTCCGCCAACACATGGCACCCCCAGCCCCTGCCACGCCCAGCAAGAGCAGCGCCAGCCCCCCCGCTGCCCCGGCCACTGCGGGCATGCTGGGAGGGGGCAGAGGGCCTTCAGCACCCCGAGAGGTTGCATTGCTGGTGGGGTCACCTGGCGGGGAAGGGGTGGAGGAGGAAAGAGGGGGAGGGACTGAAGGAGCCACCTGGGCAGCTGGACACCCACCCCTCCTCGGGGTCCCCAGGGGCTGACCCTGCTCCCCCACCCCCACCGTGGTGCCCAGGCCCGCTTGGGAACCCACCTCCCTCCCTTCTAAGCCCTCCTCAGAATCCAGGTGTGTCCAGCCCTTCAGCTCCGTGCCAAGCAGTCCTCCCCACTTCTCGACAGCACTGATTGAAGCACTGACTTGGCTAATTAGTTCTAATTGAGTCTTTTCCTCATTTGGCTTCCATTTCCCTCCCACTCTCCTCTCTTCTCCTCTGCTTTCCTCTAGCACTACCCCCCATCCCAACTGAAAGGGGGTGGGGAGGGATGGCGCAGCTGGGGTCTGAGAGCAGAGCGGCGTGCGGGTGCAGGCTGGCCTCCGGGGTCCTACCTGGCAGGGTCTCCTTCCCGGGCTCCAGGCTATGGGCTGCTCCTCGCTCCCTCTCCATGGGTATTTCAGACACAGGCTTTCGGGGGGCAGCTCCTCCTCGGGGACCTGGAGAGAGAGCTGAGACTGCAGTTCCCCGGCCACGATGGCCGTCCCCCAACCCCGCTGATTCCTGGAAAGTGTACCCAGACCCACTCACTTTGTCCCACGCGGAGGAGGACCTTCATGCCTCGGGTGAGACACACACCTCCCTGCAAGCTCTCCAGGCCTTCCCGGGTCCCATCAGAGGTGGCTAGGAGGGAAAAGCCAGAGGGGGAGGATGGCGCTGCAGAGTCTGGTCCCTATCACTGTCCCTGTGCCCTGACCTCAGCACCGCCTCAGGATGCCAGGAGTCTCCCTTGGCTCCAGTGGCCCCCTCCACCATCTCCCCTCTGTGCTGAGAGCTCCTGCCCACACAGCCCGCCTTCTGCCCAGCAGTACCAATTATGTAGTAATCATGGTGTGAGCGGAACTCATGGCCCCAGAGGTTAGGGCTGTACTCCTGGAACTTGATGGTGAAGCGAAGATCCAGGTCTGGTCGGTCACAAGTGAGGAGGAGATTAGGGGCTGGGGGTGCCTCACAGCGTCGGCCCTGGGCACCCCCTACCAGATACAGCTTGTAGAACTCATAATTAGGAGAGGAGTGGGGTCCTGGCGGCCGGGCCCGGGGACAGAGCAGGTCTAGCCGGTCCCCAATCTGAGGGTAGAGCACATAACCACCCTCTGCCTGGAACCTACAGGAAGAAGGGCAGGGTGGAAGAAGAGATGTCAGAGGTCTGGCCCCCAGATCTGGCTCCCTCACCCTGCCCCCCCTACAGGGCAGCCTTTGTCTTGGGTAGAAAATCTGATCTGAGAGAGCCGTCACTAAGAACTCACGTTGGAAGCAGCAGGAAGCCAGTTTCAGAGGTCTCCTGCCCCTCGGTGTGCCCAAATGCACTCCTCAGCCCACCCTCACCACATGCACACTGCTCCATCACTAGCCATGTTGCCATGGCAACAGGATGCCAGTTACCAAGGAGCTGGCCTCTCTGGAGCCACACGGCCCACTCCACCCAGGTGATTTCACTCTTACACAGCAGTCAGCCATGGGGGCAGAGCTGCCCATCCCCCAGGGTACCCCTGAAGTGGGGGTATGAGTTCGGGGCAAAGGGAACAGGGGGCAGGGCCATGGAGGAAGATCCACCCAGTATTCCAGATTCAAAGGTTCACAGGAGAGGAGGCGAATGCCTGAATAGCAATGGTCCTCAGAGTGAGGTGGGTCTGGGTGCTGCTGCCTCAGCTAACTCCCTCCCTCTCAGACTTAGGAAAAGTGGCCTGTTGCTTTGGATTGAGTTGCACAGCTCCCCTGGCCCAAGGCATCCACAGGCCCTGTACAGCTCACTTGCCTACCGCTTGCCACTCAGAACTGGGTCCCAGAAGAGGGTAACTCAGGATCTTTCCCAACTGACCTACCCCCTCACACCCACCATTCCATAGGACCCCCAAACACCTGAACTCACTTTTTCCCCAACCTTACAAGAACAAGTCTAAGGCCCTCAAGCTGTACCTGTTACTCAAATCGCAGCTGTAAATTGGTAGGTAGGAGACTGACTCAGGACAGGTCATTTAAGATTATGCCCAAAAAGATGTGGGAGAGAGGCCAACACAGGGAAATGTGAGGGAGGCTGGGAGGCAGAAAGGGAAAAGAACAATAATCCCAGATCTCCTTTAATGAACACAGATTATGTCCGCGCACCTTGCCTGGAATTCTCACAAAGACCATAGGACCGACAAGACAAGCTCCAAAAGGTTAAGTAACGTGCCCCAGAGCACTCAGCTGAACACACGGAGCTGGGACTGAGACCTGTGATTTGATGAACTCCGAAGCCCAGCCCTTCTCAGGGCCTCAACAGCCTCTCCCAGAGAAGGAGGAAGTTTTCAAAAAAGAATCATTTGCTGGGAGAGAAATCTAAATGGAGCCAAGCAGCCCACATGTCCTCCCAAAGAGTCTGTCCTACCTTGGGTGGCTTGGTTTCATCTAACCCCTGCCCCCCCACCCCCTTTTTTTTCCCACGCGGAGCAAGCACGGCAGAAACAGAGGGGTCTGATGGAAGAGTTTGCAGCAAAGATGGGGGAGGAGGCAGCCGAGAATTCAAGACTCCAAGTGCTAGAGGGAAAGAAGAGGCTTTAGGGGGCTTCAGGTTTCCTCCAGAAAGAAGTCCCCAGGTCAGGAAGGCAAAAATAATTTGACAAAGGGTTTAGCGAGCCCCTGGCCTGGGGCAAGACTTCAGGGTGAGTGAAGAGGGCCTGGGTGAACGGTCCCAGAGCCCCAGACTGAGCCCCTTTCCCTCCCGGGGGAGGAGGCACCCTGCCCTGCCCCTCGGGAGCACCTACCGCGCGGCTCTCCCGAGAGCTGACATTAACCAGGCTCCCCCGAGCCCAGCCCCGGACGAAGTCAGCCTCCCGCGGCCCGAAATAACCGCTCGGCTGTGCTCCACGCTCCGGAGAACTTTCGGGTCCTGGCCCCTCCGAGGTCTTCCGAACTCCTGACGCCCGGCCGTGCCCCCGCCACCCCCACCCCCACGCCGCCAGCCGGCCGTGCGCGCCCCAGGAGCCGGCTCCCCGGTCGCCGTTCGGTCACCCGCAGGCGGCACCGCATCCTCCCTCCCGCCTCCTCCCGTTCGAAGAACCTCGCCCCAAGTCCCTCAAGCGTCCACGCACTCCCTGCCAGAGGGCGTGGGGTCTCCCCGCCGGGGCGGCTCACCTCTTATTCGCCGAATTCCAGTAGACGGGCTCCAGGCTGAGCCCAGACACCAGCCCCCCAAACCCGAGCAGCAGCAGCGCCCCGATTCGCACGTCCCCCGGCCAGAAACGGGGGGCCCCCATGACCCCGCCAAGGCTGGGGGCGGGGCGCCAACTCCCCCGAAGTCGCGCACGCCGGGAGTGGGGGGACCGCCTCGGCCACCCGGGCGACGCCGCCCGACCACCGCGCCGGCGGCCGCCCCAGCCCGGCACGCGGACCCTCTTCCTGCTCTGCCCGCGCGAGCCCTCCCAGGGCGGTCTGCGCGCCCTCACGCCCCCGGCCCGCGCTCCAGCACCCGGGACCTGCCAGCGGGCCTAAGTAGGGGACGGCGAGCGCCGGGGGGCGGGCGGGGGCGGCATGGGGCGCCGGAGCCGGAGGGGGGCGCGGAGCCGGAGCCCCAGCCTCGCTGGGAGTGAGGGCAGCGGGCTCGGGGAGGAAACCAGCCCCGAGCCCGGGAGGGGGAGTTGAGGGAGCGGCGGGGAGGGGGAGCACGGCGGAGGGAAAAGCCGGCGCTGGAGCTGGCGGCGGAGCGGGCCGGAGCCGAGCCCACGCCCCCCACACCTCCCTCACCTCGGCCCGCCCGCCCGCCGCGCCCGCGCCGTCTCCCCGGCCCCCTTTGTCTCTCCGACTCCTCGTCTCGGCGACCGGCCACCGTCTCCCCTTCGGCCCGGGACCGCCCGGGCCCACGCTTGGGAACGCTCGCCCCCTCCCCGCCCCCGCCCCCGCGAGCGAAGCGCCCCTTCCTCCTCCGCAGCCCGCTCCCTTTCCTCGGACCTCCGAGGGAAGAACCGCGGTTGAGGCTCCGCGCTTTCCAAAGTGACCTGAGCTCGCGGCACGACTACCTGTGTGAGGCGGGAGAGGCAGGGCCAGGAGGCCCCCTGTAACGAGGGAAACTGAGGCCCAGGGAGGTCCCTGCTGGCCCGAAGCACAAGACGCCGGGGAGAAAGCCTGAACCCAAATCTCCGCTGACTTTCCACCCCCGGGCTTTCTTTTGTCAGGGCTCTTGGACCCTTTGTTGTTACAGGGGTTGAGGGGTGTGCAGGGGGGGGGGAATAAAAGGCAAGAGGTTAGGAGTCAACTTGGACCCTTCTCGAGCGAGCGGCCGCCCAGAGAACCGGGACTGGGAGCAGAGTACCTACAATCCCAAACCCGCATTCAGCCAGAAGGCTGTTTCCAATTATCCTGGGGGAAGGGAGGAGGACTTGCCATTTGGGGTATGAGCCTTTGCTTTCGGCACCTCTGGGCAGAGGTGACATAGTTCTCTCCCCTCTCCAGCCCGGCATCCCGTTCCCTTATTGTTAGGCTCAAAGGCAAATCTGCCGGTAAGACAGCCTCTTTGGAATCCACCTTCTGACACACAATTTGGCAAGGGGAACGTGGGGACGGAGTTGCTGACTGAAATACCTCGCCCTCCACCCTCTTCCCAAGACGGCAGCAGAATGAAGAAACAAGACCGGTGGCAGCTGCTTGAAGGAGGCACACGCCCTCATGCTGCACCTAACATGACGTCTGTGTTTTTCGGCACCTTTCCTCCCATGTGTGTCCTTGACTCTGACGACTCAGTCGCTTCTAGGGGGAGTCCAGGAAGAGGGAGGCGGATACTCCAGCTCCCCTTCCCCCAAAGCTAATAGTCGCTCGGCTGCTGACGGTAAACAGCGTTGAGTGTCTTGTCTATCGCTGTCTGCACAGTCTCACAGTCACACCCAAAAGTCTGACACAGCTCCCGCCTCTCCTGCTTGGCAGTTAACGCTGACCCCTGTGCCCCCACCTTAAGTGAGATTTCAAACAGGTTCCCCCCTTCAGTTTACCATGTTGCCTAGCAACCATTCCATCAATGGCACGAAGGCCCACCCCCTCACTTCACTTCACACCAAGTGGCAACCTCATTGGCTCCTAACTAGTCCCACCTCTCAACCCAAATTCAGGAACAATACACCAGTCCCTGCTACCCTGGACAAGAGAGCCCTCCGGTCCCTCGGCTAGCATCACCGTCACTTGCCCTCCCGAACAGATGCGAAGACTCCAGAATCAGAAAATCTTTTTATGTGAACTCACCCCCACCTCCCATTGTCCCCCCCTGGCCCTTCTGAGCCTCAGGGATATTGGTGTCCGGATCACCCCCACACCACCAGAGCTGAAGCTGACATTCCAGATGGCAGTGGCGCATGGACAGCAAGGGAAGGTCCACTTCCTGCTCGCCTTCATCCCCGCTTTCGGTGGGCTCTGGAAATACACGCTGACCCGAGGCAGTGGCTAGGAGAGGCAGGCTAGGGTGCAGGCTGGAGGGAGAGATGGAGAGGGCCGTCAGTACCCTGAGTGGGGAAGCTTGCGCCATCTGAGGTTCCTGCCCCCGCCCCCCAAGCCCCCCACCAAAGTCCCAAGATCCGTGGAATTCGTTGATAACCTCACTCCGTTGGTGCAGTCCTCCTGGGGAAGAAAACTCTGTACTAGCTCCGGCTTGCCCTCAGGCTCTATCCTGCTGGTGTCCCACACAGAGACGGCTCCATTAGTGCTGCCACTCACCAGAAACTGCCCAACTCTAGGAGAGAGAAAAGAGGAATGCTGACAGGGAGATCCGGGCTAGACTCCTTCAGGGTTTATTACACCAGGAATTAGGATCCCACAGCTGGGCCCTGGCATCCCTATGGGATGGGGCACAGTCACTCACGGGTCTAGGTCAAAGTAGATACGCTGATTGGTGGTCACCTCTCGACCCAGGGACCACAGTGGGTGGGCAGGCTGCCGAAGATCCCAACATAGCAGCTCAGCATCCTGAAAACACAAGAGGCACACGGGAGGTCCATGTTCCCTCCCCAGGTCAAAGCCATCTCTGCTTCCCTCGCGGATTACAGTTCCTCCCCACCCATCTCCTAACAACCCATTCCCTCCAGTTCAGGATAGGAATTCTACCTTGCGGGCTCCAGAGAAGAAGCGGTTGCCATCCGGATGAAAGCAGAGGTGAGTGATGCCCCCTCGGTGCCCTGTCAGCAGTGCAAGAGGGGAGCCATCATCCCAGGCATAGAGACCCAGGGAGCGGCCATAGGAGCCACAGGCGTAGAGCGGCTGGGTCGGGCTGAAGGCAATGCAAGAGAGGATGCCGCTCTGGCCCTGCTTTTTGGCTAGAAAGGGAAAAAACAAAGCCGAGAGCATCAAACAGCTAGTCAGAGGTGCACTTACCTCCATCCCAGAGCCCATGTATCTCCTCAGTCACACTTATTACAGACAAATCAGGACATGGTGTTTCCCACATCTGTCCCCTCTTCCTCCAAAAGGACCTAATGGCCCCCACTACTTTCTCCATCTTAGAGCACCATTTTTCACTAAAAGACTGGGAAAAATTCAATCAGCTTAATCAATGGCTGAATAAATAGCAGTACTCCTACATTAATAAATAAATAAAGGACTGGGGGGGGGGAAGCCTCCCATAGAAAAAAGGATCAAATTTGCCTCCAACTTTCTAGGGATACCAAGATTTCAGAGACCAAAAGGTGCCCAGTCAACAGGACACAGAAGAAGAGTGAACCAGCGCTCCAAACAGTCCACCCCTCGTAGTGGGTGCAACCTGCTTCCCTGGGCTGTGGATAACAACCTGCCCCCACACACCAGGCAGCCGGCATATATACAGGGCACTCTTCTAAGTCCTCCTTCCTTAAAGATACACTTACCAAATGTGGCTCGGATCTCACAGTCTCGGCCCGGTCGGGCTGTGGAGAAAACGCGCACAGTCCGATTGAAGCCACAGAAGAGCTGGGAGCCATCCGGGGAGAAGCAGAGTGAGTGCGCTGCCGTCAGCTCATCCTGAGGGTAAGAAAGGGCTGAGAAGAGGCCCCAGAACCTCAGCTACTCTCCAGAAAGGAGAGCTGGGCCCAGGCAAGCCCAGAGGCTGGGTAAGGAGGTCTGTACCAGGTGATTGTAGGCACGAAAGGAGGCCCGAAGCTCTCCAGTGAATGCATCCCAGATGTGAATCGGATTCTCCCGGCTGCTGCTGGCCACGCTGAGAGAGACACCAACACTGAGGCACTGGTGCTACAAAGGAATGGGAGGAAACTACCTAACCAACCCTCTCAATTCATATCTAAGGGCGGTATCAAGCTGTTCTCCCGAGAGGTCTGGCAACACTTTTAGTAAAGGATCCTCTGGAAACTGGGGGGGAGGGGGCTGCATGGGAGGCAAGCAGGGAAGCAAAGGCCATCACTTACTAGGAGGTGTCTGGCTGGGCTGAAGACATCAGAGAATACCAGCAGTAGTCATAGATGGTGTCACCTTCCACCATCCGGAGCACTGGGGTCTGAGCAGAAACAGGAAGCTTGGGTCACTGGCCAGGAAGGGAGGCCTGGAGGGAGCTAGCAGTTTTACCACCGAGGAAGGCACTTGCCAGGCAGAAGTAGATGAGGTAAAATTAGTGAGGAAGAGATACCCGAACCCCACATCCAAGGATCAGTTCAGTCTCTTGGGTGTCAGACCCAGATCACCAAAAGTGACACATGCCTATCCTTTCGTTTTTCAGATACTTAACAGCGGGACAAACAAGTAATAGTCCATGTAATCCTCACAAAACCCGATGCTGGGGACAGAAAATGCCAACAGGCTGAGGGCATTCTTTGCATTCAGGAGGGCTAGGTTCGCTCGCTGGAACTACATGGTCCCCCGAAGAACACCAGGAGCAATTCTCAAGCCAGGAGTACCCCTTGAACAATGCCAGCTTTGGCCGCAAAACAAACAAACAAAAAAAACCCCAAAATCTTGGGCTGGGGAAAGATTAGCAGGCTGGAGTACATGCTTTGTGGGAGTCTGAGTAGGATCCTGGCACATGGTCCCCTAGGCACTACAAGGTGAGAAGCAACCCCAAAGCTTCACAGCATAAGTAAACCCAGAGCACTGATGGTATGATGGTATGCCTACCTGCCACCCACCAGAGAGAGAGAGAGAGAGAAAGAGAGAGAGAGAGCAAAAACGGGCCAAAGAAATCATACAGTAGATAGGGCAGTTGCCTGTACACAGCCAACTTGGGTTCAATCCCTGGCCCTTCATATGGTCTCCAGAGCCCACCAGAGTGATCACTGAGTGCAGAACCAGTAGTAACCCCTGAGCATCACCAGATATGGCCCAAAAACTAAAACAAAACAATTTCAAATACGTAAAATAATATTAACAACAAAAAACTACCCTGTGATTCTACCAATCTCCTTAAAAAATAAAATTATGGGGCCGGAGTGATAGTACAGTGTGTAGGGCATTTGCCTGGCATGCAGCTGGCCCCGGTTTAATCCCCAGCATCCCATACGGTCCCCTGAGCACTGCCAGGAGTAATTCCTGAGTGCAGAGCCCGGAGTAACTCCTGGGCATTGCTGGGTGTGACCCAAAAAGCAAAATAAAAGGAAAAATATAGAAAAAACTATAGGGGCAGGAAAGATAGAACATTGGGTAGGGTCCAGTCCACCCAAGTTCCAGCCCCAGAACCACATATGGTTCCCCAAACACAGCCAGGAATGAACCCTGAGTACAGAGCCAGGAGTAAGCCCTGAATACTGCTGGAGATGGCCCCCAATGAAAATAAATAATAATAAAATAAAAAATAAATTAAAAAAACTCAACAGGCTGAGCTTGGTTTTTGCATGCATTGAGGACCAGGTTCCAACCCTGACAACACGTTTCCCCAGTACCACCAGAAAAGACATCCTTTCATCCCCTCAAAGCAGAGTCAGTAGAAGCCAATGAGCACTACCAGGTATGTCCCCCCGCCCAAAGCAAAACAAAAACTATTTGGGGGGGGCAGCAAACCTGGCAGTGATCAGGACTTACTCCTGGCTCCACACTCCACTCCTGATGGGCTTAAAGTACCATTTGGGGTGCAGAGGATCAAATAGTAATCAAATAGTAATTTTTTTTAATTAAAAAGAAAAGAAGTAAGGTTATAGTACACTTCAATCTGGAACCACCCACATTCCAGTTTGGGGCACATAATTACATAATTCCCTCTTTATGGTACTCTTCTAGTTCCCGTTTTAAAAGAAAAAAAGTTTTGGGGTCACACCCGGCAATGCTCAGGGGTCACTTCTGGCTCTGCACTAAGGGATCACTCCTAGCAGTACCCAGGGAACCATATGGAATGCTAGGGTCAGGCGCATGAAAGGCAAGCACCTTACCGCTGTACTTTCTCTCCAGCGCCTTTCTATTTCCTGAATAAAACAATTTAAAAAAAAAAGGGGGGGGTAGTTGTGAGGAATGTGTTTCAGCTATAGATAATTTTCCTTGTATATGTGAAGCTCTGAGTTCAAACCCCCAAAATTTCTCGCTCCAAAAAGGGAAAACGATATGGTTATGGGGACAGTTCAATGGCTAAGGGTGCCTAGTCTACAAGACAAGAATTTGAGCCCCAGTGCTGCCCATGAGGAGACAGGGAGAGAAGTGCCCAGAATTCCTGTCTCAAAATAGCATGAGACCTCCAGCACACAGTCTGAGTGTGCCAGAACCACAAATGAAAGATGTGTGAGCTCTGTACTCAGGAGCATGAGACCTGTAAGCGTATCTGTGAACACCTGAGACTCTGGCAAGCAGTCAGAACGCGCAAGAGCACAATTACATGAGTGGGTCCCCTGGTGAGCACCACATCCAAGAGGGTGACACCCAGTCATCACAAAAGCAGCAACAAAAGGAAAGGAAAATAAAAGTATGCAGAAGTTAATGGTCTGGAGATATAGCACAGGGGTTAAGTATTTGTCTTCATGAACTGACCCTGATTCAATCCCTGACACCTTATATGGTTCCCTGAGCATCACCAGTAGTGACCCGAAGCACAAAACCAAGAGTAAGCACTGAGTACTGCCACACGTGGCTCCCAAACAAAAGTGTGTTAAAGCCTGTGGGGTCAGGGAGATGGAGCAAAAGGAAGTGAAATGCAGGGGTTGGAGCAATAGTACAGCAGGTGGGGTGCTTGCCTTGCATGCAGATTTCACTCCTGGCATTCCATATGGTCCCCTGACACCTCCAGGAGTAATTCCTGAGTGCAGAGCCAGGAGTGGGAGTAACCTCTGAGCCTCACCAGGTGTGGCCCAAAAATAAAATGCAAGGATGAAATGCAGTCCTGGGGTTAGTACCAGCATCTCACAGTACCATGAGCATTAAACTAAGTTCCTGGACACCACCAGATGTGACCCCAATAAAAGAATTAAAACCTTGGCAAGGCCAGGGAGCTGGCTCAGATGGCAGGAGCACACGTCTTATATATGGGTGTCCAAGCTTAATTCCTGGCGCCATATGGTCCTGCAAGCACAGGGACCTCTGGGAGTGACCACCACCACTAAACTGGTAGGAGCCCTAAAGCACCTTGGGGTGTACCAAGGGATGTGGCCCCAAAATGAAACACAAAAGTTAAAACCTCTTTCCTCTGAAACAATATTCTGATTTTAACATCCCATACATTTCTTCAGGAACATTTTCATCCAGCAAAAATTCAGTATATATCATTATCTTAGAGACCTTTAACACTACTAATGGTAATAGAGGCTGGAGAGAGTACATGAGGTTAGGCACCCGCCATGCATGAGGCGATGGCAGCTGCAACCCTGGTTTAAGTCCCCTACATCAGGTGTCAGTCCTGAGCACCAAGCAGGAAATAGTCCCAGAGCATAACTGAGTGAGACCCAAACACCCCAACACACACACACACACACACACACACACACACACACACACTGTAACATACTGCATGTGAAGAGAGAGCGCTGAAAGTGAGAGCTCTGACTCAGCATTTGCAGCACCATCCACTTCTATCCTGCTGCACTGACACTCACTATGACGTTCAGGCTTTAGTTCATGGGCTTCAATTTTCTGGTATCCATATTAGAGGGTACCAGAAATTGAAATGCTAGTTTCAATTAAAAAGTTCAATTACTGGGTTCTATGACAGAATACATGTCTCCGTTTTGCTGAATAATGTCACATACTTTCCAAATTTATTCTCCTGCCAGCAGTAAATAAATGTTCTTTGTTCCCTCTTGATTTTGCCAGACTTCGTTGTTTCTCAATTTGAAGGCTGTGAAAAGGAATTTGATTATGATATAAATTTGCATTCTTCTCATTATTAGCAAGTTCAGACATTTTTCTATGTTCATCAGCATTCAAGTCACCTTTTCCTAATTTTTACTCACTTTCTATTTTTTTGTTTTTGGGGTACACTTAGCAGTGCTCAGTATTTATTCCTGGCATGGCGCTCAGCAGACTATATTCGGTGCTGGGAAGCAAACCCAGGTTGGTCACATGCAAGGCAAGCTTTATTATCTCTCCAGTCCCATTGATTCATTTCTCTAATAGGCTATTGTCTTTTTCTTCCTAATCTGAAGGAAATATTGGCTACTAGCTAGTCCTTTTGTCAGTGACTTGCTAGCCCTTGAGGTAGTATCACCAGCAGCAATTTTTGTTTCCATTTCTCCACTCTCACCCAGATGTCTGGTGCTTGGTTGAGGGCCCTACACCATCCCTCAGTACCTCCAATTCATCATGTCCATAAAGAACCCAGCATCTGCCCTAGGAAATCTGTTCTTCCTGTGCTCTATATCCAGTTTGCAAGCCCAATTCTGACTACGCTTTACTCCCGTTCTGCTCTATGTCCACCCACTAACAAATCCTGCTAATTCTATCTTCAAAGATTCTCTCTCTCTCTCTCTCTCTCTCTCTCTCTCTCTCTCTGTCTTTTCTTTTTCGCTCACACCCAGTGATGTGCAGAGATTACTCCTGGCTCTGCACTCAGGAATTACTCCTGGCAGTGCCTGGGGGACCATATGGGATGCTGAGGATCAAACCTGGGTTGCCCGTGTACAAGGCAAATGCCCTACCCGCTGTGCTATCACTCCGACCCTTCAAAGATTCTCCTGAACATTCTTACTTCCCATTCAAAACCAATATCTTTTTGAGAGCACTTTTGCAACACTATATTTTCTCTTGTCCCAGACACTTTTACCTGCCCATCTGTGCTGCATACTGCATCCACACCAAAGCCCTAAAGACCTCATCAAATTATAATCTTTTTCTTTTTTTGCTTTTTGGGTCACACCTGGCAATGCACAGGGGTTACTCCTGGCTCTGCACTCAGGAATTACCCCGGGCGGTGCTCAGGGAACCATATGGGATTCTGGAAATCGGACCCAGGTGGGCCGCGTGCGAGGCAAACGCCCTAGCCGTTGTGCCTTTGCTCCAGCCCCAAATTAGAATTTTAAAGAATTTTCTGTTTAAAACACTGCAAAGTGACTGGAGACACAGTACAGAGAGTAAGATGCTTGCCCTGCATGT